ACTGTGACAAATGTACTCAGAGGTCATGGCTGAAATACAATAAATTAACTGGTAATTCGAAATATTTTCACCTGAAAATACAAGTGAAAACAAAGACAGACAAATGTTCAAAGTAAAAAACAAGACTTAAAAGAGAAGTGCTTATGGCTGGCGACATTCATCCCAGGTCACATTCACCCCTGCTCCCGGACCACCAGTGGAAAGAAGGAGGAGGAAAATGAGAGGAAGTAAATCTGAGAAATCTTCTGTAAAGCATCTAGAAGTAATTGCCTTAGCTTATCCCTAGTAAGTATGCACAATCAAAGGAGAAAAATATGCCATCTTCATACGATACAGCCTAGGCATGGCAGTGTGGCCACTGTTACAACTGCCGTGTAGTTAAGTGCCCAGTTCATCATTTGGAATGTCCATATATTCTAAGCAATCAACATGGCTCATCAAATCAAGCAATATGTAAGGAATACGACAAGCAAAAACGGGGGCAAAAACATGCTCTAACACAGAACTAACTCTTCTGAATTTTAGTTGAAATAGCTACCACCATGTAACCAGTATCTACACACATACAGCAAGTGACCTGAAATCAGTGTGTCTCAGATCTCCCCTTTCAATGGAAAGGGGAATGGAACCAAATCAGTGTGGTAGGGTTTAGGTTGTTAGCTTTGTTTTGTTTCAAAGCTTATTTATGTATGCCCTTCATGAGAAACACAGAGAAAGACAGAACACTAAGCACCTCCAACAGAATCTTTATGCTGCAACCCATGGCCCACAACCAGTCTCTGCTAGTCTGGATCACAGGCACACACACCCAGCATGCTCAGAGAGGACCCAGGGTATGAACCCAGGACCTTTGTCATGTGAATCCAGTTGTGTTACTGCTGTACCACTGTCTGGCCCTGGGTTGATTCAGAAAGAGAGAGAAGGAAAAGACTAAGAAAGGAAGGAAGGGCTGAGACTTGGAAATTGCATTGTAATTTGAATTCAAAGAACACAAATCATTTTTATTATTAGAAAGCGGAACCTCACCTCTTCCACTAAAAAGCTGGGCAGGACCTGACTTGAGATCGGACTGCATTCAGTTACCCCTAGACAAGGGGTGAGCGCCAGGAACACTGCGGCGGTAGAGGCCAAGGCGGGATCACCGGGACACCTGATCTTCATTCAAATGTCTCTTAGTCAACTGGCTTCACAGACCACCCACTTAATTAACCTCCTTCTGAATTATTTATTATCCCCTAAGTGAGAAAATAAATCACTCTTGCTGGTTACTTGCTCTGCTTCAGGAGGTGGTTCAGAAAATTTCAAGCCGAATAATGTTTGATGTAGCTCTGTGGTACCTGCCACCCTCTCAACAGGCAGACAGCTGAGATGAGAAATTTCCCTTAAAACACATGAGCAGAGGTTTGCTACACTGTTTGGGCATGATCTGTTCTGCACCTGTTTTTTATTCTAAATTAGTAAAGTTGGGCTTCCTATAAGTTTGTTTATTTCTTCTGAGAGAGAGAGAGAAAAATAACATGCCCCAACAGGGTGGATGCACTGCCATCCACCCCCAGCCTCAGCCAGCCAGGAGCAGGTCCACATATATGCTTGCATGCACAGGGAACCTCAGGGTGTGAACCTGGGACCTCCACATATGGCTTCAGCACTGCAGAGCATTGCCTTCCTGCAGCACTACCACATCTGGCCAAAATTAAAGTTTTGTTTTTCACTATTTATGCATGAGAGAAGGACGCTGATTTCTGACAGGGTCTCACCACATTGAGATCCTAGCTAGCTAGGACTGTAAGTGCACACCACATTACCCAGCCTATCTAGGTTGGTCTGGGAACCAAGCACAGGCCTCCCTCTGAGTATGGTGACACTGTGGCTGAGCCCCTCAACCCTCATTTTTTTTTTTTTAAACTGTAGATTAGACCCACATTCCAGGGTGGAGGAAGGGAGGGTACAAAATCTCATCACTTCTAACTAGCAGGATTTTTTTTTCATAAGCCCCTAAATTCCTATAAGTGAATTCTTTCTCACCCCTACATTTGTAAATTAACTGATTCATGGATTTACACAATCTTAAGGGGTTAGCTTAGAGATGATTCAGACCAACGCTCTTTGGAGAGGTGGAAGAAGCCCAGCAAGTTTCTCCTGTGGTTACCTGGCTAGAAGGCATCCTCCTCCCCAGTTTCCCTCTCCTCCCCGCCAGAGAGCCCTGTAGCAGGAGCTGCTCTCTAGCTGTTTAGTTCTATTTTAAGATAAACCCTCTCACTCTAGAAACCACTTATACAAAACACTGGCACGGCACCGCCCTGCAGTTTCCTTTGGGTCTTCATTTTGGTCATCTCCTACCATGGATGAGCTCTCTGAGCCTCAGTAGGACCACGCCTGCAGGCAGCTGCCTCCCGGTCTTTCCTGGTCACCTGGGCTTGCCCGTTAGGGCAAGGCTGGAGACTATGCACTGGAGCGGTCCTACTAGAGCCCCTAACCTTGGCCATTCTTCTGGCCAACGCTGACAGTGAGGTTGGGGAGCTTAACACGACCTCAGGGAAGGAAGCCTCAGAGTTGGGTGGACTTGCCACACTGTCTTCAGGAGAGCACCGGCCTTCTCAGTCGGCTCTCTCCCTCTCTCCTCTACTTCTGCTTTTCAGAAGCTTCTGGTCTTCTGTTCTCACATCACATCTGAAGAACTGGCACCCAAGACTGCCCTCCACCCCGCGTAGTTCGTAGAAGGCTGGCAGAGAGCTCAGGCAGGCTGGGGGCCTGGGGAAAGAGGTCTGCCAACCCACCACAGAGTCTTCCGGAGGTGGGTGGTGGAGGTGGGTGGTCGCACCAGAGAGGGCAGAGGAGGAAAAGAAAAATAACATGCCCCAACAGGGTGGATGCACTGCCATCCACCCCCAGCCTCAGCCAGCCAGGAGCAGGTCCACATATATGCTTGCATGCACAGGGAACCTCAGGGTGTGAACCTGGGACCTCCACATATGGCTTCAGCACTGCAGAGCATTGCCTTCCTGCAGCACTACCACATCTGGCCAAAATTAAAGTTTTGTTTTTCACTATTTATGCATGAGAGAAGGACGCTGATTTCTGACAGGGTCTCACCACATTGAGATCCTAGCTAGCTAGGACTGTAAGTGCACACCACATTACCCAGCCTATCTAGGTTGGTCTGGGAACCAAGCACAGGCCTCCCTCTGAGTATGGTGACACTGTGGCTGAGCCCCTCAACCCTCATTTTTTTTTTTTTAAACTGTAGATTAGACCCACATTCCAGGGTGGAGGAAGGGAGGGTACAAAATCTCATCACTTCTAACTAGCAGGATTTTTTTTTTCATAAGCCCCTAAATTCCTATAAGTGAATTCTTTCTCACCCCTACATTTGTAAATTAACTGATTCATGGATTTACACAATCTTAAGGGGTTAGCTTAGAGATGATTCAGACCAACGCTCTTTGGAGAGGTGGAAGAAGCCCAGCAATTTTAACTGTAGATTAGACCCACATTCCAGGGTGGAGGAAGGGAGGGTACAAAATCTCATCACTTCTAACTAGCAGGATTTTTTTTTCATAAGCCCCTAAATTCCTATAAGTGAATTCTTTCTCACCCCTACATTTGTAAATTAACTGATTCATGGATTTACACAATCTTAAGGGGTTAGCTTAGAGATGATTCAGACCAACGCTCTTTGGAGAGGTGGAAGAAGCCCAGCAAGTTTCTCCTGTGGTTACCTGGCTAGAAGGCATCCTCCTCCCCAGTTTCCCTCTCCTCCCCGCCAGAGAGCCCTGTAGCAGGAGCTGCTCTCTAGCTGTTTAGTTCTATTTTAAGATAAACCCTCTCACTCTAGAAACCACTTATACAAAACACTGGCACGGCACCGCCCTGCAGTTTCCTTTGGGTCTTCATTTTGGTCATCTCCTACCATGGATGAGCTCTCTGAGCCTCAGTAGGACCACGCCTGCAGGCAGCTGCCTCCCGGTCTTTCCTGGTCACCTGGGCTTGCCCGTTAGGGCAAGGCTGGAGACTATGCACTGGAGCGGTCCTACTAGAGCCCCTAACCTTGGCCATTCTTCTGGCCAACGCTGACAGTGAGGTTGGGGAGCTTAACACGACCTCAGGGAAGGAAGCCTCAGAGTTGGGTGGACTTGCCACACTGTCTTCAGGAGAGCACCGGCCTTCTCAGTCGGCTCTCTCCCTCTCTCCTCTACTTCTGCTTTTCAGAAGCTTCTGGTCTTCTGTTCTCACATCACATCTGAAGAACTGGCACCCAAGACTGCCCTCCACCCCGCGTAGTTCGTAGAAGGCTGGCAGAGAGCTCAGGCAGGCTGGGGGCCTGGGGAAAGAGGTCTGCCAACCCACCACAGAGTCTTCCGGAGGTGGGTGGTGGAGGTGGGTGGTCGCACCAGAGAGGGCAGAGGAGGAAACATCCCTCTCTGCGCAATGTCCTTCCACAGCCTCATGGGTCTCTGTCCTTCCCCACTCTTCCTCCTAGAGCCTTCTCTTTCCATCCCCATCGCCTTCCCAGGCCGGCCTCTTCCGACTTCCTCTAAACAGGCGCTGCCCTAGCGTTTCCACTTTGTCTCCAATTATGTCTAAAAGCAACCCACCACAGATGCTGACATTTTAAATGTTTAGTTGTTATAGTTACTTGACTAATTGCCGGGCCCAACCGCGGCGCTTCTCCTTTGCCTCCCGCGGGCAGGAGGGAGGAGGGCGTAGGGAGGAGATGGGCTGAAGTTGCCACTTTCTGGGAAAGGTGTCCTGTCCAGGCACCTGCGGTCCCTCGGCCTGCAGCCAGAGCACCAAAGGGGCACCGCGCCTCTAGATGCAGCGCACCGTATCCAGTCCCGGGACGCAGGAGCGGCAGAGGGTTTTGACCCGCGGTGCGCCCGGCTGGCCTTCCAGCCCGCCCACGCCCACGGTGTGCAGAGACGGGAGCGAAGCCTGGGAAAGAGGTGGACAGGGAGAGTTTGGAGCGAAAGCAGAGTTAGAAACCAGTGCAGATTACTCACGTGCCAGATAGCGAAGAAGATGAGCGCAGCGCAGAGCACCAGGGACAGCATGTAGCAGAAAGCAGCGAAAGTGAAGGCCATGGCCAGCCGACCCCGAGTCCACCACACACACAGAGGCCCCTAGGAGACCAAGGCGCCCCTCGAAGATCGCACCCGTCCAAAATGGAAGCTGAAGGTAGCCAGGTCTCCACTCTCTCCTCCAGGACAGAGGCTGAGGAGGAGGCACCGCAAGCGGAGAGAGACTCGAGGGTCAGGGAACAGGGGCAGGATTCCCACAGGCTCCGGGTAGCGGGGACCCGGCTCGTCCACGAAGACAGAGAAAGGTGCGTTGAGTGTCGTTGGCGGGAACTGGCCCCAACCCGAAGCAGCAGCCCCGGCAGCAGAGAGCACTTGCAGATCAGGGCCAACCAGCAAGCCCCTGGAGACCAACCGCGCGAGAGATGCAAGGACTCCACCGAGGACCGAGTGAGGAGGTCCCGTCCCCTCAAAATCCCAGGAAAGATTTCTCTGCTTTCCGCGCCTAAGCCTTAGAGGAGAGGCGAGCGCGCAGCTCAGGAGCCTCCCTCTCCACCAGGGCGCAAACCCACAGCGTCCAGCTCTGTCCCCGGGCAGACTCTGAGCGCCTCCCAAACCCCAGAGCCGGCAGCAGCTTTTTTTCGGAAGAACAGTTCAAAGTGGCCAGGCGGAGCCGGATGCCGCAGGTCCTGAGCTTGGGACGTGGCTTCCAGCTTAGCTGTGCACGCCGAGGTGAGCCTGGCGCCAGCCCGGGCCCCAACCTCAGCCCCAGTCCGCCAGTCTCGGTAACTCAAGTGCTCGGGGAACTGGAGGTCGGACAGGGACGGACACCGGCTCCACCCCGGGGCCAGCTCCCACGCGGATGCTGTAGCTGCGGGTGTCACGCCAAACGCTCCTAGCGACGGAGCTCGCTCCACCTGCTGCTGCCGCCGCTTCCGCCACCGGGCAAACTCTA